TTTGAACCTGTGCCGATAATTTTGAACCTGTGCCGATAATTTTGAACCTGTGCCGATAATTTTGAACCTGTGCCGATAATTTTGAACCTGTGCCGATAATTTTGAACCTGTGCCGATAATTTTGACAATAATTTTGACATACATACAGGTTTGATGTTGAATAATTAATTATTGTCTTGTCGATCTTCAATCATCCCAAAGGGTCAGGGGTAGTCCCAGAGGACGTCCTGCCGCAAAATATTGCCGAGTCTCATGGACCCCCCGGGGTCGTGCCACCTCGACCCGGGTATAGGCTAGTTTAACCGAAGAGTGAATTTATCTCCACTTGAGTGAATCGGGATCGGGTCCTTTGTTCGGACTCCATTACGCCCATGGTTCTGGTACGTAGACCCCGGAAAGCTCCGAGCCCGCAAGTGTTCTGGGACTCATTAACGGAGCGACTTCTAGATTGCGTCTGAATCCGTTCGAAGCCAAGTACTTCGGATCTCTAGATTCGTGGATCCGAATCCTTTTGAGTCCGAGTGCCTCGGATCTCTAGGCGTTCTTAATACCCTTTCGAGTCCGGGCTTGAGTAAGTCTCTAGGTTCGTGGATCCGAACCCTTTCGAGTCCGAGTGCCTCGGATCTCTAGGCTTGCTTAATACCCTTTCGAGTCCGGGCTTGAGTAAGTCTCTAGGTTCGTGGATCCGAACCCTTTCGAGGCTTAGAGCGATTTGGCCCGTTTGATGGCGATAAATCCGGGCCCACCAATCTTGAACTTGCGATAAATTCGGGCCCACCAACCTTGGGCTATTGGGCCTAATTAATTTAATGGGCTTAAATTAGCTCCTCTTACAAGTAACAAAAAAGAAAAGAAAAAGAAATTCTAGGGTGAAGATATATGGTCTTATGTGATGGCAAGCAATGATGTGCTGAAATATTGTACTATTCAAAACCAATCTTTTAATGGATTTTAGATGGATGGGATGTCTATCAAACAAGTTTCAAGTCTTCTGATGCATAGTGTTTGATACTAAAGTATCAGGCCATTTTTTGACTGTATTTTTGAAAGACTACTTTCCAGTGTGTCCATATTAGAACATTTCTTATAATAGTAGTTATGGGCTTTGCAGCTTCCAGATTTGACAGTAACATCCGAAGAAAGAGTTCTTAATGCAATCTTACTATGGTGCATGCAAGCAAAGGAATTTTATGTGTGGGACGTAGTGGATGAGATGATATTAAATTCTGTGCCAGAACTTCTTTTTGTGGAGAGATTTCAGTCTATTAATTACTTGTTGCCCCTTGTGCGCTTCCCATTACTTCCATATGCCTTGTTAAGAACGAATGTGGCTCAGAATAAAGAGATAATATCTCATAGTAGAGATCTATTCGCCAGATTAAAAATTGGGCTCATTTCTTGTATCCTCATTCTCACTTTCTTATGCTATTGTAGTTGGAAAGGAGCGACCTTAGTAGAAAGATTCCTACTTTTGATTTTCTGGTGAGTGAAATTGTAACTTTCAGTTATATGAATTTTCAGCCAAAAATTTCTGGATGTGTTGATTATTTATGGTTATTCTTTTCATTGACTTCTCTTATTGGACTGTAACAGGTGAAAGAGGCCATTTGTTATTTAGAATTTGGATTGGCTAATCCACAAGGTGACCACAAGTAAGTATTATGTTTTAAATGTCAATCTCTTCTGTACAATCTTGCCTTCTGGACTCGTTGAATTAAGAATAAGAAATAGAATATTACACTCACACTTGATTTACAACATTGGGAAAAGATACATGTTTTTTTTTTTGGTTGCTTAGAACATACAGGATGAGAATAATTTTGGATCAAGGCACTATTCTAAGTGATAAATCAAATTAAAGATCTAGTTTACCATCTATCTGAGTCAACACTAGAAGTTTCTATTTTTCAATTGAGCCTCATTGCAATAGATGTATCAAGTTTGACCGTTTTTGTGCAGTATTACGTCCCCAAATCCATCTCTCTTCATATAAAGACACTTTCCACTCAAGCTACCCTGCCTTGCTTTTCTTTCCCTTCCTTTCTCCATGTTTCATTGTAAATAGAAAGGGTGGCAAACAAGGCATTGCCATTACCACTCTAAATGCCACGATAATTGTTGTATTACTTTTACCGTCTGGCCCAAGTGTATGTATCTGGACCACCTATTTTGATATGGCATTTTGACATCTTCATAATGATTTTATTAGCCTTTTTGTGGTTGAACATGTCATCAAGTTACGCACGCAATTATAAAACGAGCCATGTAGGGATGCCTCTTCATTATTGTGGACACATAATTCTATTGGTATTTCATGAAAGAAAATCTACATTGGCTTTAGTTTGACAATGAGAAGCTAGACAGAATTTGTCTGGCCTGGATTTGACATTGAATGGATTTGGGTGAAATCCCACAGCAGTAAAGTCTATCCTGTTCTTACCAAATTAAGAGGTGGTTTGGGATGATCTAAATAAGTGTACTTTTTAAATTTTTGTGAAATATGGGTTGGGTATAGGTTGGATTTGAAGTGATATGGTAGAGAGGTGATGTGACTTAAATAAGATGATGTGACTTAAATAAGATAGTGACTTTTTGACTTTTTAACTTTTTTAGAGTACCCCAAACAAGGCCTAAATTACATTCATGTGTTGGTAAATATTTTACTTCCTTACATCCTATGTATTCAATTATATGATCATGTCTTTGTGAAAGGGCTGGTTAGAGGTTTGTTGGAGAGTGACAAAACATGTGAGACAAAAGAGTCCCAATGGATGACTTGGGAAGAGATAGATCCATCTATCTGAGAAAGAGGGAGGCAGTGGAGTAGGGGAGCTCAAAGTACATAGTTTATGACCAACCTCTCTTGAAGAGTGTGATGTAGAAGAAACTAGTGATGTAAAGGAGTACATCCTTCTATTTATGGAAGGTTAGTCACGTGGCCATAACTAATTGTCCTGCTTTCTCGAGATTCTGTTAAGATTTGTCAAAAAGCAATCAAGTTGTTAGGATTTGTCTTGTTTACTGAGATTTCATAGATAGGTTTAGTGGCATGATATCTCTCTATGATTAGGATTGGCTATGCCTACAGGGGCATAGTGCCAAGGCGAAACTTCTTCATCTAGCTTCCAAGCCACAAGACGCACGGAGGGTGCTTGCGGAAAACTTTGTGATGTGGGACGACTAGAAAGTAAAAATATTGTAAATAAAAATAACAAACTACACCGAAAGAAAAGAAAATTGAACCTAGAACTTAATACTCAATATCTCAATTCAATTGTCAAAGCTGAATAACCCCACTACATAATGCCCTATTTATAGGCACATCTAAGAAAATCCTAACTAAAAGTTTCCAAAATAAAATAAGACAATAATTAAGTTGTTAATAAAATCCTAAATAATATTCTAATATGGTAATAATTCCTAAAATCTAATCTTTCCAAAGACCATTAAATCCTTCTTTATCCAATGCCTTTTTTGTCCTCATCACTTCAATGTGCCTAAATGTTGCCTTAGCTTAGGCATTTGAGTGGCTTGGTATAACATCAGAAGTACTCAGAGTAATAGATTGCACGGTATTATTTCTGGTAATAAATCATGCAGTATGACTTCCACTACTAAGAGATGGCTTGGACTCTTGACTCGGGTGTCTGGTTGGAAATGGGAAGTCTCAAGGCTTAGGCATGTAAGAGATGCTTGTAAGTCCTTTGATTCCATTCAGTTAAGATCAACTGATTTCAGAAACTAATCTTTCGGAGAGTTATGAAATCTTTGTTTTAAGTGATCAATAATTCATCTTCTATTTGGTTACCCTTCAAAGAAACTGATTTTTGCCAACTACATCAATATGTAGAGATGGTTTTCAAATAATGTGATGTCATGCACGATTGCGACACGAAGCTTCTTTAAAAGTTGAGTCCAAGTTTTGGAGTTCAAGTTATGTACTTTTGCTTGCTTGCAGTAGGAGAGCATGTCAAAATTAGTTTCTTTACTTGAAATCCTTACAAATGAATGATTTATGGCTGACGTAGTTTCGCTTTATAGTGCAAGATTCTAACACAGGCGATCTAGTTTTAAGGAGCTGCAATACATATGTGATGGTGACAGCAATGGAGTTGTGTACTTCATTGGCACATCATTTGGGGAACATCAATGGGTAAATCCTGTTCTCGCAAAGGTAACTTCTCGAAATACTGGTATTCTCTTGATTTGTCAATGGTTTTGCTAAATTATTGATATCTTATCCTCTAAATTGCTTGTTTCAGAGAATTTGTGTTAGTGCTAGCAGTCCCATTTCAAGACATACCGACCTGAAGGTTTTTTTCTCATGGAAACGAACATTGAACTGACAATTGACACTAGTGAAGATTGTCTATAAAATGTGCTCAGTCCTTTTTCCCCGTTGCCTTCAACTATAGAAATATGTTATATGAATAATTGCATGGCTTTTTCCCTCTGATTAGTTTTCTGATGCTAGATTGTTTGTTTGATGGATGCAGCTTATGTGCAACTGTTATACCTTGAGACAGGAGGGGTCAAGGGCCTACATAAGAAGTTGGAATTTTCAGGTAAATATGATGCTCTGTTGTTGTTTTCTCTTCCTCCATCCCCCTCCCAATCATGGTTTGAATGAAGTAAAAAAATGATGAGTTTATCATGAAATTTTATTGACAATAATTCTAGAGTTCTCTGGATGGGAAGACTTGGACAAACTTGAGAGTGCACGAGAATGACCAGACAATGTGCAAACTGGGTCAGTTTGCTTCATGGCCAATAATAGGTCCCAATGCTCTGCTTCCCTTCCGATTCTTTGGGGGTTATATTGACTGCTCCAACAACCGATGATTCTAATCCATGGAACTTTTGCATTTGCTTCTTGGAGCTCTATGGTATGGTTACTTCCACTAAGTTGATTGTGTAACGAATGATCAGACTAGTCGTTTGGCCCATCGCAGGCCCATTATGTACAGTTTCTGCTCGTGAGAAATAAAAGTGATGCTTGGCAACTCTCTGTCATGGCTTGAAACATGCCGCTAAGAGGTTCATTCTTCACATTATGGCACAACTTAGAACACTTCTAGGACTATGTTTGGATTAAGGATTTGAGAATTGATATCTTTCCTACTTTCTTTCCTTTTGCATGTCATTCCTCAAATCTTTGATCCAAATAGAGCCTCAGACAATTTTCCAATCAGCAAGATAACATTTAACCTAGCACTGAAAATATTACAATCAAAACAACAATGGCCTTCCAAACCTGGAGTGTCTTCAATTGTGTACAAATATGGATTCATGGGAGTAAGCTCTGACAAGAGTCAATTCACTAGAATTTATAAAATTTCAAGTAACAACAATACTGTTCTACAGAATTAGTCCATAACCAACTTTCATAGTGAGGAAACCAAAAAAGCTGAGCCTATTTACCATTTACCCAATCAGAATTGTTCAATGCTCTAAAAAGTTGTACACTACTTTTCCAAAAGCCAAAATTAGGAAAACGAAGAGCAAGCAAAGCTATTACTTAGGTCCAAGGCATCCAATTAAAACCATAGCTTGGACAATCCCAAGTACCAAAAGGATCGGCAAAGTAATTGAGATAGCATTGCATTCTGTTTGGACAGCACCCAATGCTTTTGATGCCAGTTTGAATCTAGCCAAAAGACCAGGTTATACTTTTGATGCCCCATTTGAATCTAACTATAATCAATCTGCTACAACCTGGTCCACTGATTTTCAGTCTGCTCTCCTTTCTCCATTTCTACCAAACACATGTGGTGCATGCCTATAGGTACATTCCATATAATCTTTGCTGCAATTAAGTCTCTTATTACCAGTTGATTGAGCGTTGGATGAATGATAACATTAGATATCGATTTAAGGAAACAAAAACATTGAAAATTAAGCAATAATAATCATCCCAGATGCGTTTAGCTGGCAGTGAGTGCAACATAAAGCTCTAAAAATGAAAAGTTACATACTCTTATACCATTTTTCAGGTTTACAAAAACAAGGGTTGTAGACGAAGACATCACTCAAGTAATGGTGACAACGCATGCGTTAACATCCAAGAGGAGGCAATAAGACCCAAGGATTCGATTACCTCCTTATAGAGGGTACAGCACCCCTACCAGGTGGAGCTCCACGACCAGCAGCCTGAGCCTGCACAGTAAACAAGTTCAATAGTCAGGCCACTCGTTAATAAAGAGGTCACAACTTGTTAAGTATGCTATAGATCAAACATCTTGTGATCCAGCAGAGTCTAAAACAAAGGTTTTATTTTTTATGCATGTCATGAAAACCAAATGTTCTGAAACGTGATTTTGTACAAAATAATTACAGATGCCAAATCATTGCACTTTCGTCGAAGACCCATTTTATGATGTTAATGGAAACAATATATATATATATAGATAAACTTACTCTAGCCCGCATTGCAACAGCACGACCCCGGCCAACTCCAATTGCTGAGCCCTTACCCTTCATTGAGTTAAGTGAAAGAAATTAGATAACAAAAGAAGGTAACCGACATAGGAGAGATAAAGACATATATATGAATAAGTACCTTGATTCTAGACTCCAAACGCTTAAACATTGGAGCATTCTTAAGCATGTCGGGAATCACCATAAACCTGGTTGGAAATCACATTTGTTCCAAATGAATGTGGTTATAAGCAAATGAATGCAGCAAACAAACTATCTCAATTAAGATGCAAGACAATACCTGACTTTGCTGCCTCAAATAAAGACATGCTCAAGTTGTGAAACCTTCCCATCCTGTGAAGTATGAAGGAATCAACCAGTATTAGCAACTGATGTGAAAGTGTACAAGGAAAGGGAATAGTCAACAGACATGGATACTAAAAAAGGGTGCACATATGTAATCAATTATCAGAAAGACCAAAAATCAAATTAAAAATGGAATACAATCATATATGATTCAAATCACCATGTACAGCTATCACAATGTCAATATTAATGACCCTGCAGAGGACCTGGGGGGAAAGGTATATGCAAGTGTATGTTTACTCGTTACAGTCCAAATCCGAACATATTACATGAAAAATTGTCTATTATTTATTTTACTTGCTCTATTTTATTTTAGTTTTAATATGTCGCTTGCTCTCCATATTTCTTGGCACCTACTTTTGCTAACTAAGAAAACTTTAGTGAGCACTTACAGGTTCATTTTACAGCTTCAGCACTACAGCTCGACAATGAACCTGTCATCAAAGTCACAACTAGGAGTGAACAATATCCACAAATTATAATGCAGTATCTAACCACTATATACATGACATATAAGTATCAGCCAGACACTAAAAAAATAAATTATGTGTCTCTCATAGTTTCCTGATGCACATGATCATTATTGACGCCATGTTGCTTCCCTTCTGTACAATGCAAGACTCAATCCCTTTGGAATCATGTAGCATATGCCATGGAGTGATTGCCTAAGAACATAAAGTGCTTCTTGTTTGATCCAGTGTCTACCTATGGATTACCCACTTCAAGCACCAAAACTCTTGGGGTCTGAATGCCTCTTTATCTGCTAGTTTCCCATTTCTACACTTTATTATGAATGGCCTTTTTCATGTCACAAAAAATAGTAAAGGTTTTGTATAATGACAATGAAATGGTAAGGTGAACAAAAACTAACAAATCCTTAGGCATATTCTTGTTTTTTGAAATGGCAATCATACAAGAAAGATACTACGGCCTCCTATCCTATCTTATTCTCACTGTCACACCCCAAATCCAGGCATGACCGGCCGTGGCCCACAGGGACTTAGCCCAAGGCACACATAAGCCTAAACATGAACCCAAAACCATAAAGAATAAATGTGATGATAGCCCAGAAATAAATAAATCAACACTCAATCCAGTGGCATACCACAAGTGAAAAACAAGTCATAACCAACTTCCTAAAAATATATATATACTAAATGGGACACAAACCGCCCACAACATAAAATAATTCTAAATAAAATCCAACCACAATGTATGCACAAAACTCGACAAAGCAACCTAAAATAAATTAAATAAATGTCCTAGAGGTCCATGCAATTAAGTCCCTGCTACGCCATGAGTCCACTCTAAGTCCTTCTAACACCTGGAAATGGTAAACAACTAAGTCAGCTGATAGCTCAGTGAGTAGCAACATGGATAGTAAATACAGTTTTGAAAACAAGGTTCAATTCCAAAATAAGATATATATCACAGAAACTAGATTGGCATACAGTTTGGTAAATACAATCTGTTTCAAAAAGAAGGTTTCACAGTTCAACCTTAAAAGACTCATGTCTCGCAGAAACATGAGAAACGAACATTTTTCCTACTTAACAAAAGCATTACATAACATAATCACCAATAATTTTCTGGGTACCCAATAAATAAACTAATATCTGCCCACACATTTCTCAAGGCCTATAAGGCCCCGTTGATCAATTATCAACTAATCATCCTCAGGTGGCACCTGGGCTTTTCTCAAACACAATCCTGATTTTGAGGTCACTAGTTGTTTTTTAAAAGGTCTTTTCCCTTACAATCGTGAGCACTAGAGTCATCACGCCCAACCCGGATCTGTTCCCTAGTGGCCAGAGTCACCACACACGTGAATAATTTCCCTGGACAAATACACACAATGTCCAATATCAATACACATCAGTTTCGCAAAACATGGTGTCATCATATAAACATGAGACAAAACAAATAGTCTACAGTATGCCAAGTTCACACATAATTTCAGAAATAATTTGATTCAATTGAATAATATAATTAATTTTAGGCAAAACAGTTTAATTTGAAACAACAATTTAATTTTCCAAAGTTCAGGGTAGGGAACATTTATAAAAATACGTAGCATGAACTACTCACCTGAAAACGAAAATATATAATCCTCGAAAGAAATGTAAAAGTCCAACTAGTGGCGCTGAACCAGATAAAAACTACCTCACCAAACTAATTATAAAAATACTAAAAAAATAGAACTAAGTAACCTAACTAAAGCGCACTAACACGGACTCAACCCAACTCACCCGTACTCTTAAATATTACCCTAATTTTATGTTCTTCAAAGGTTTAAAATCCCCCAAGACATAGATTCCGATCGAAACTTAACTAAAAATAACTTTAAGATAAAACAGTGTTTTAAACAAGTTTTCCCAATCTATTCGCTAACTTTGAAAATTACAAAACCCACTCCACGCTATTCGAAAAATTCCAATAACCTCCAGATATGATCTAATATATCCTAAGTTTCAAACCCAATTGGTTTCACTTGATTTTCTTATCAAAATAATTATCTACAATTTATTATATCCAAACAGGTTGTTTTCTGCAGCACTTTAAAGAAATTGACGGTTCTCTTAATATACACGAGCAATCAATGCAAGGCCAAAAATGTACGAAACTAGACTCGTAACCGGTTCTAATGACACTAATTTGATAATTTTTGGATTTATACCCAAAGAGAACAACACTCCCGAATTTACTATTTCGGACTGGTTTCCTGGACAGATTTGAATACCTCAATTTATATGGATTTCGATTCCCAAAAATTATGAAAAAAAATCAGATATACAATTCAATATGTAATTAATCTACTGTAAAAATTTCAGATTAAAATTCATCCGTTTGATATGGTTTCTTGATTTTTAAAGTTTGTGATTCTGTGCAGAATTTTTGGATTAAGAATTACACCATTCTTTATACATGAATTTAACTCCTTAGATTTCTTAACAGTATACATATATACAATATACATAAGTCTATAACCTCTCCATCAATGAAATAAATAATAATAGAGTAAGAATAAAAACAAAAACAAAGAAAAAAAAAAAGAAAGATAAAGACCTACCACACCCAAAAATTACTCCTTGTTTGCAATTCTCTTTTTTTTTTCTTCTTCCTTTCTCTCAAACTCTCTCTCTTCCCGTGGCTGCTGTGGCTGCTGTTATAGTGTTGATTAGGAACCTAGGGTTTGTGTTTATTTTATTTTATACTAGTGGTGGGCACACATAGGTATACAAAACATATATAGAAGTTATATGCAACTCAAATGGTAGGAATCTTATATATTAACCTTGTAGTTTAGAGTTCAAGTCACACCCTTCTCTCTCTCTATTTTTTTTTTTTAATAATAAATCTTGTTTCTAAATCAATGACTTTCACCATAAATTTATTTTAGGTTTAAAAATTAATTAAAGATCCTCCAATAATATTTAATTTGCACCTTAAAATTCACTACCAAAATATTTGAGATTGTAATATTATTATTTAATTATTTACTTAATTTTTATATTCGGGTTCTTACACTCACTCATCCATCACAATTCAAAACTATTGAAAAATAAAATTTTCTCACAATATGGCTACTACCAATAAGGATGAAATAGCCATTGCACCACAATAACGAGAGATAGGCAAGAAATATAAGAAACAAACCACGAGGAATATAAAATAGGGAAAAATTCACCTTACTCTGCTAGATAACTTTACCCCTATAGTTTAGATATAGGCTGAGACCTCGCTTGTGATTATGGGTTAAAATGCAACCATTACATTTTCCGTCCATATTCACGGGACTCATGGCTACATGCATGAGTTTGGAATCCAAGTCAAAAGTCAAATTTCCAAGCAAAAAGACACTGTTGCCCTTGGCTTCATCTTCTTCCTCCCACCCATTTGATGACCCAAGTCCAGGAAGTTCAATTGATAGCTGAGGCAAGAATCAAAGTTTTCAATATCCTTTTTCTGTGAATCAGTGTTATATTTATATGAAGTTGTGAAACAATTATAGATGGCAACTCTAAAAAAAGCAAAGTTTGATTGGAAAATGCCAAAATCTGAATGACCCTCATTGTTTGCTTTTCTACATTGTCGATAAAAGATTGCCAATATTTGTGATGTTAGTGGCACTTTCATGAGCAAAGCCGAGGACTTGCGAACGATGTAGTTCACCGAGGTTTAACCTTTTGTGTTACGTTTCTATATGATACAAATCTAATGGAATTGGGATTCATAGGCTTTATATTAAAGAAACCAAACCAAAATGGGATCGTCTAGGCAACTTCTTCACTGACTTGCTGTTGCTTATTATGCATCAATGACTGTTAGTACAACACCAAACATTTAAAATTCAAAGTTTAGTGTTTTGGGTTTCAAATATATAATTTTTGTTGCTTTGTGTTTGAATATGCGCAATTGATGTAGTAACAATGGAAAGACCAACATTTTAACAACTTTCATTTTCTTTTTCAAGTGGTGATGAAGAATGGAGTAACAGCTCAAGGAAGGCATCAGAAAATCAGTATTAAATTTGCTTCATTTAGCAAAGAATAATTAGTAGGAAAAAACAAAGAAGGTATAAATGTATTTTTATCATTTAACTCTAATGGTGTTGATGTTGTAATTTAATCCAAAATCACGTAGGGGCTCTCTGCCTATATCTAAGCTGTAAGAGGGTAAGGCAAAATGCTTAAGACCTTAGAGCATCTCTGGTGGGGATGCTAAATTTGTACATTAGTGTGTTAACTAACAAAAAGTGATAAAAGTGGACCCAATTTTGTATGTTAAGAGTTAGTTGACATAGCGAGTGAATGATTGTTGCAATGGAGATGCTAAATTGTGTGTTAAGTAAGAGTAGGATACACTTGAGAGTGTATAAATGTGTAACAAATTTCAGTAGCCTGCCTCTCTCTCTCTCTCTCTCTCTCTCTCTCTCTCTAGTTTAGTTGCTACAGTTAGGACTCCTTTTATGGATTCCAACTTTAACAAAGGACAGAACATGTGCACCAAAGCAACAAACAACTCAAATTGATGATGTTAACTTATGACTCTAATTCTATGCCTAACAGCTCCACTGGAGATGCCCTTAACCACAAGGGAGTCAAGTGAATTTTTTCCTACAACATATGACATGATGCAAAAACTTATTTATTATATTTTTCTTTATGTGCGCATTTTGGGTAAGAAGTGGCGATAGAAGATGGAGCCAAAATCCTAGCAAACGCTCGCTAGTAACCCCAAGTTATCACTGGACGTAAAACACCACAACACAACATGATGCAGAACTTTTGATTGCCAAGTAATTTTCGAGCCCTGTTCATTGACTAGAATTCCCCATTTCCTTGGGTCTCACAGATAATTAATTCTCTTTTTATTAAAACAATGAGCAGCCTAGCCTTTATTCAACAACCAAATGGACCATAAACTACTACGTATGAGATCTCAATGGACAAACTATTAACATCCATTCAAGGCATACTTAATAGACACATATCAAATAGCCAACTGAATAATAGTGGAGCAGTGTTGACAGAAGCCCAGCAAAAGAGAATGGACGAATTGAAGCTAAAGGATCTCAAGGCAAAGAATTATCTCTTTCAAGCAATTGATCGTGCTATTTTAGAGACTATTCTCCAAAAGGACACTTCTAAACAAATATGGATTCTATGAAGAAAAAATATCAAGGCTCAACAAGGGTAAAACGACAACAACTTCAAGCTCTTTGCAAAGACTTTAAGACTCTTCACATGAAGGAGGAAGAGTCAGTTGATGGGTATTTTGCTAGAACGTTGACTATAGCAAACAAGATGCGTATTCATGGTGACAACTTGGAAAATGTTGCTGTGATTGAAAAGATCTTGCGGTCGATGTCTCCCAAATTCGCATATGTGGTCTGCTCAATTGAAGAATCAAAGGACATTGATGTTTTGTCCATTGATGAACTGCAAAGTTCTTTGCTGGTTCATGAGTAGAAAATGGCTATTCCTTCTATAAAAGAATAAGCTTTGAAGGTGTCAACCCACATTGATTCCCCCCACAGGGAGAGGGTCGGGTCAAGGTCGTGGAAAAGGCCGAGGAGGAGGTAGAGGAAGAGGAAGAAGCATGGATTTCAGAGGCAAAGGTAGAGGCAGATGAGCCAATTCTGATTATTCAAAATTTGACAAGTCCAATATTGAATGCTACCGCTGTCACGAGTATGGCCATTATAAGTCTGAATGCACTACAAATTTTCATTCAGACAAGGGAGAAAAGTCTAACTTTACAGAGAAAGAAAAAGAAGAAACGTTATTAATGGCTTCCTATGACCAGGAAGATACTTAGGACAGATGGAATAGAGACAACAAACATAGCAGATGGCAAGACAAACCCAACCGATACATACCAGATCCATTAACAGAATTAACAGTAATAGGAAAGGGAGGGGGAGTACAACTTTGAAAGAAGGAAAGATGAAGAGTCACGTGATGAGAGACACCAGAGTCAAAAATCCAGACAGATGAAGAGATGTTTGAAGGAGACCTAAGCAAACCTGAATGAAGAGAGGAAATAACTGAGGCAGATGAGAAGGGTTGGAAGGTAGACAATATATGCTGAAGCTAAGCAATCGGAGCACTCAAGGAAGCCAAATCAGGATCAGGAACTGGAGCAAATGCAGTATAAGTGGTTGGAGTCTGAAAAGTACTTTGAAAAGGAGCATAGAACTGAGTCTGAGACTGCTAAAAGGACGAGGCAGACATATGTCCCTTCTTGGGACAATGATACTTCCAATGGCCTCGCTGATAGCAAAAAAACACACTCATCTGATGCTAGTAACCCCGTCTTGGGCTTTGCAGGAGACTGAAGCTGATAAGTATCCGACATCATAATGAACCAAAAATAGTAAACCAATTGGGTAAAGTATAATAAATAGAAAATTAATGAGTCAAATTGTAATAACCAAAAACTAGCACTATATGGATCAAAATGTAATAACAGAGACCTATCGCCAATCACAACCAGAGAAAGAGAAGACCTGAACCCACTTCGAAGCAACCAACAAACTAACAACGAACCACAGAGAGAGACAAATTGACCTAGAATCAGATGAGAACCAGGGAACTGTCCTTCGCAATGAGAGAGGACAGACTAAACCTTCACGTGAAGCCGGAGAGTGGCAGAGATGGACGACCGGAGTCCTTTTTGACATAGATGGGTTTCAACCTGAACCCAAACGGGTTGCCACGAACAGATGAAGGGGAGCAAGGGCAACACTGACTAACAAACGAATCACGATGGATAGATTGATCGAATCTTGACAAACTAGAGATGGATTACAGGATGGGTCAACTTCGACGACCCAGAGAACAACCTCAATTGAACCACCAAACACCAAGATTGTAATTCCGAATTAGAGAATGTTGTGACTGTTGTTTTAGGGTTTCAAAGAGGGCTCTAATACTATGTAAAATTTCTACCTATTCAATTATAATCGTAATACAATATACATTGATTTATATAACAATTTAACCCTCGAACGAAAAAGGAAATACAATTTATTTCAATATATAAAATATATATACTATTATATATATATATATATATACTAACGTATATCTGTACCTAAAGATACGGTATAAATAATATTAAAATTAGAATATAATTGTAATCCTAACACTATTTAAATTTATTTTTTAATTTGATAAAATCACAAATTTATTATAAAAAATTGGAGTTCTTACAAAACTCTTTACGAAAACTCGTTTTTGCTTGTATAATATATAGCTAGATAGATAGATGTGCATAAATAATCTATTTGTTCTTAACAATATTCATCCTGTGGACAATTGTAATTAAGGCTATCCCTAGTGTATGCCCGTGCCTAAAGACACGGTATAAATATTGTTAAGATCAAAATACAGTTGTAATTTATACATATTATGTTCAAATTTATGGAGTCTGTAACATTTTTTAATAAAAATATTGAAAAAATATTAAAAAAAAAATATTATTTTTCTTATGGATTAAAATATAATTTGTTGAAAAGAAAAAAAGAAAAAAATTGAGGTCAAATTATATTCAACTGAATTTTATAATTAGAGTGAGGTAATGGATAGTAAAACACATGAGCTTAAGAGCCTAACACATAAAATAAAATAAAAAAATAAATCTAAAACTCTGCACCATCCACCCATTGTCCTTTCTCGCTCTCTCATTTTCTCATATTTCAAATTTTGAAACACACTCTCATTCTATCTCTCTCTCCTCAAAACACATTTTGTTACCCCAATAAGAGAAGGGCAAATCTATATAAAGACCAAAAAAATAAAATAAAAAATTATTAAAATAAAATAAAATAAAATCATATTTACGCTAGTTAAAGAATTAAAATAAAATAAAATAATCATGGTAGAATGATCCCCAAGTGGTTGTCCTTATAGACTTGCCTTTAGGTAGAATTAAAATAAAATAAAATTATATTTACGGAACGTTCAGTTTAATTTATGATAGAATTTTTGTATTAAATTTTGAATGTTAAAACTTACAACATTATAATTTCGATTTATATAGGTTGGTCTTACTTAACTATTTAGTCCTTTTTAATTATGTAAGTGGTAGAGATTTTCTTAAGTTCATCTTAATAATATTATGTACTTTAAACTCAATTGATTAAATTATGAAACTTCTCTCGTTTTAAACTCAATTGATTAAATTATGTTCTATTCATAATTACTTAATATTGTAATTATAAGAGAATTACAAATATTTATAGCATATATCACCACACAAAGTATAATATTTATAATAAGAATATATTACTATATCATTTTACTATTAAAAAATTTTAAAGTAATATTACAATATATTTTGTATTAATTAGTGTTGAGTTGCTGAGCATTCATAGGAAGCAAACCCACATGGGAACCCCTCCCACTATTTCTCCTATCGCCATCAATGGGCAGAGATTTTCCATCCCCTGCCTCTCTGTCTCTCTCAAATTTCACCATTATTGCTCAAGATTTGAGCTTAGAATGGGAATGGATTTTGTAAAACCTTTTTTCTTGGGAAAAAAACTCACAAAAAGAAAGGTATCAAGACGATATAAATAATATTGAGATCAAAATATAATTTTAATTCAAAATTATTATTTTTTTAAAGAATTTTTAATAATTTTACTTGTACCACACATTATACAAAATTCAATTAAAAATAACAACTCTGCCCGGGCTTAATGTAAATTAAGAAATAAACATAAAAAATTTATAATGTTCACCAATAAAAAAAAACAGTCCTCTATTTTATTTCACCAATAAAATAGTGAAATAGAAAAAAACATGTAACAGAAAAATTGTTTTGCAATTATAAGAAAAAGCTTTGCCTACTACACTCTAGTCCTCTATTCTTTTACACCCACAAAGACTAGACCAGGAAAAGTCATATTCAGCCGAGAGATCCAGTTCCAAAAAAGAAAAGAAAAGAGAAGGCTGAGAGATCTCACAAAGGCAAGTCACGTTTCCACCTCCCTCTCTCTCTCTCTCTCTCTCTTAGATCATGACCCGATAATATGCAACAAAACATACTTTCTTTATAGCTTTTCCACTACCAAAGAAGATTGCAGATTCTTTGCTTTTCTTGTTTTTGGATTGTTGAGGATCAAAAATATATATATATATTCAAGAGAAAAATCTCCATTACTGGGTTCCTCCAAGCAAAGATCCATGGGACTGCACAAAGTGATTCAATTCCACCACTGGGTTTTCTTTTTGATGGACGACTTCCAATGTTCATGCGGCCATACTCTGTTTCTGGTGTTGCCTGAAGCATTTGCACAAAGAAAAAGGATATGAAATTCATAGTATGTTAATTTTACAATCAACCTCACTTATTCCAAGTGGCACTGATAAAATTCACCAAGCTCCTCACGAATATTACAGAACAATAAATGAAAAAATAAGCTTCAATAAGATAAAATATGCACATTAGAGCATCCCCAATCCTTCACCAATTAAAGAAAAGTGAGCTCCAATCATTTCATCAAACCTGTATCAAATCAAGGGAGAGGTAAATTTTTCACCAAATCAAGGTTGAATAAAATCTTCACCAAATTTTGAAGTCATATTTTTACTTGAATTTGATTAAATTTTAAAAAAAGATTTGGAGACAAATTTCTTTCATCAAACATTGTGATAAATTTTGCATTTTTTCAAAAGATTTGGTGAGAATAAAGAGTGAGAATTGGAGTGTTCCATACCAGAATAAAATTTCACTCAAATTTGATGAAATAAGAGAGAGCAAGGATTGGAGATGCACATCAGGGAAAATAATTATTCAAGTGCAATCTAACCGACAAATGAATCAACCAACATAATTTTATGTCCTTTTCAAATGGGGAGGATTATGCAAGAATAACTAAATGTAGTCAGGGAACAAAAGAGATGAAGAATACAAAGAAAACAGCTAAAAATATTCAAGAGAAAAATATTCAACAGATGAAACAACTGTTGGAAATGGTTATAAATTCTGGGTAAAACCAGAATTTTATCATAAGTTCAGTCTATTTTTTAGGTGGGCCCCGTGCGTCGATTTTCACGAGTCAAAGTGGTAACGCATTCTATACCGCGTTGTGATTCACATGGTATATTTGGTTGCTCAAAACCATTACCGAGTGAATGGGAAATTGAAGCCAAAGTGTGCTCCATGGAAATGGAGTTTTGGTGAAAATTCCTTAAGGTTGTAAAATGGCTTGTCCCACATTGATTTGGTTGGAAGTTTTGAATGGATTTATAAGGCATGAGTTTGGTACTTGGGGTGTGCCCCAAGGAGTACCCAAGTGTTTTAGAATGAGAGGTTATGGGCAAAATAGGCTAAACCCATTGGACCAAAAAATCACCACACGTGCGCATCGCCGTCTGTCCGGTCGGGCGGGCTGGGCTTGGGCACGGGTGTGTGGTGTGAGGTTGGGTTGGGCTTGTCCGGCCCAATACTAATCTTTTTG